TCCTGTCAATAGGTGGTGGTGTGTGTGTGCATGAGTGCGTGCGCGCACGCGTGTGAGCGTGCGTGTGTGTGTGCGTGCACATGTGTGTGTGTGTGTGTGTGTGTGTGTGTGTGTGTGTGTGTGTGCGCGCGCGCGCGCGTGCAAGCATGAGTATGTGTGTGTGTAAGCATACCCTCAACAGATCACATGCAAGCACCCATAACACACTTTCACGAATACGGAACAAAAGCATGTCAAACGACGACTGCTTGATAAAGGGCTCAATCAGATTTTAAATCTTTTTATTTATTTATTTTTTTTTTTTTACAAGAAACAGGGTCTTAGGCTCATGCCGCGTCAATGACTATTGCACAAGTAAACGCAACAGCGGCTGACTACAGTCCTGGAACATAACACTTGTAAGATGTCGCGCCATCTGCTTGGAAATGACTGAACCAACTTTGAAACCTTGCAGCCATTTACAAATGGCCATGGGCTTGAACCTTGGAGATGAGCCCAAGAAAAAGGGAGAGAGGTGAGAGGACAAATACGTGGGAAGGGAGATTGAGTGTGTGTGTGTGGGTATGTGTGTGCGTGTCTGTGTGCGAGCGTGCGTGCGTTTTGCGAGAGAGAGAGAGAGAGAGAGAGAGAGAGAGAGAGAGAGAGAGAGAGAGAGAGAGAGAGAGAGAGAGAGAGAGAGAGAGAGAGAGAGAGAGAGAGCAGTTCTTTGTTAGCCATGGGGTCGACGAAAGACGGAAATCAATATTGACAACATATTGCACAGCGCGGCGTATTCCACTATTCCACAACTTGCGTAGCGTTTCATCGAGCACGGTGGGCCATTAAATACGATGATTACGTCTTTTTTCCCCAAAAAAATCTATGCGTGTTCAAAGGACACCCAAGGCAGTGAACACTGTCCATTAATTCAAATTAAAGTGTGAAATTATTCATCAATGGCACGGCGTGCTAGCAAAGCGATAAAACACCAACGTAAAAACTGCACAGCGAAAATAGAACGAGCAAGAACGAGCAAATACGAGCGGAGCAAACGACTTGGGCATTAGTCAATCTATATAGTATGATCACTTTGTTACACTGAACATCATGTCGGACCAGCCCGGGTGTCGGTTTTAAAAGCAAACCCGCCCTTCCCGGACAGTGTACCCTGTAGTTCACTCACGAAAGTAATTACAGCACTCGTCGGCTAACGTCAACAGTACAGTGCTCATTCATCTTTAAAATGGTGGGTCGTTTTCCTGCGTACTCGCTAGGGGCTTTCTACACAATGCTTTCCTGTCAATAGGTGGCGGTGTGTGTGTGCATGAGTGCGTGCGCGCACGCGTGTGAGCGTGCGTGTGTGTGTGCGTGCACATGTGTGTGTGTGTGTGTGTGTGTGTGTGTGTGTGTGTGTGTGTGCGCGCGCGCGCGCGTGCAAGCATGAGTATGTGTGTGTGTAAGCAT